TAGCTCGCCCTCTCCCTCCGCTTCCCCATGGTGCTCAGCCCTGCCGGATGCGCTTCATCCTCCTCCGGGCAGAGCTGCCTGCGGGTGGGCTGGGGTGGACGCTGCGGCCAGGCTGAGCTGCCCACTGTCCCCCCAGCCTACCTGGCAGCCGTGGACTCCTGGCTCCATGTCCTGCTACCCAAGATCAAGCCACGCCTGTACCAGCATGGGGGGAACATCATCAGCGTGCAGGTAGCTTGCTGTGGGAGCCGGGCCCCTGTCCTGCTCTGGGTCATCTTTGGGTGTGCCCCAGAGAGCCACCTGCACCCCCTACACCACGACCTCATCCAGCACAGCTCCTCGATAAATCCCTCCCCACCTCTGGGCCTGGGTTTAAATTCAAGGGCTGGGACTCTGGGGTACCCACCACCACCCCGGTTGTGTTTTGAGGGACACTGGTGAGCTGGGGGGTCACGCTGGGGCTGGAAGGTCATTCTCAGGACCCACCTGGGGTCTGTCACAACATCTGACAGTGTCGGGAGGGAAGGGGGGAGCTGGGTGCTTGTCCCAGTGGGCGGTGGGACCTGGCTGCAGCCCCGCCATGTGCACGCTGGGTGCCGGCCCCTGCCCTGCTTGCAGGTGGAGAACGCATACGGGACGACTACGGGTACCTGCGGCACCTGCTGGGCTCTTTTCGGGCGCTGCTGGGGAGCGAGGTGCTGCTCTTCACCACCGACGGCACGCGGGCAGAGGAGCTCCGCTGCGGGACCCTGCAGGGGCTCTACGCCACCGTTGACTTTGGGCCAGGTACCCCTACGGGGAGGGGAGGAGAGGGGATGGGGGTCCCAGCTCCATCCCGCTCCAACCGCCCTCCCTCCACCTCCGCAGGCTCCAACGTGACGGAGGCATTTGGTGCCCAGCGCCGGGTGGAGCCGAAGGGGCCCCTGGTGAGCTTGGTGTGGGGACAGTGACCCGCTGTGGCTCTGGGGAGGCAGAGGGGCTGGGGGAGCGAGGCAAAGAGGGGTGCTGTGGGTCATAGGGGGGTGCCAGGAGCCCCAGCTCCAGGTGGGTGACGGCCCCTTGTTCCCTAGGTGAACTCCGAGTACTACACGGGCTGGCTGGACTACTGGGGGGAGGCACATGCCAGCACCAGCTCCGCGCGGGTGGCCCGGGGACTGGAGGACA